AAGGCACCAAGATGGGACAAGTCTGCTTCCTTATTCTTATCAAAGATGCCCCAAGAGAAACCTCTGCTAGCTGGAAATATGTCGACGACTCTATTATTGGGATCAGTGTGAACAACTCGGCTCCCGACTACACCGCCCCCCAGAATATATTGAACATTCTCTAAAATTGGGCCACCAACAATCATGTCACCATCAGCCATACCAAGACCATGGTTATGCTCATCAACCTCTTCTCTGACCTTGTCTCACCTCCCTCCATTACTTTAGGCCCCAACACACTCAAGGTTGTAGACTTCACCAAGCTCATCTGCGTCACTATACTGTAGATAACAAACTAGACTGGAAAACACACGTCAGAATAGTTGTCAAATCCTCCAGTTTTCGTCTCCACCTCCTCCGCCGACTCAAGTCCCTCGGAGTTCCTGCACCCGAGCTCCTCAGAGTTTACTCAACATTCATACTTCCCAAGCTCACCTATGCCTCCCCTACCTGGTCTCCCTCCCTAAATGCCACACAACGTTAACACCTAGAAAAAGTGCAAAAGAGGGCATGCGCGACTATTCTCTCCCCTTCCTACTCCACATATCACGAAGCGCTCAACACACTGACCCTCTCGGCTCTCTCTGACCATTACCATGACCTCGTCCGCAAATTTGGTGAGAAGCTTTTGCACCATCATCGACACCAGCTCCTACTTCCACCCGAGATCCCTCGTCCGCGAATTGCTGTTCGACACCACAACCGCATCCAGCCCATACGAGCACGTACTGATCGCTATAAAAACAGCCCAGCCCCAACCATTATGAAAATTATCAACAACTGGGAGTGAACACACGGTTCACTCCCAGCCAATCTTACCTTTGTGCACTGTCACTATGTTGAAATGCCCTGCAGCATGACCTTCTCCCCACCTGGTTATTATATATCATATTTGTATCACTTATGTCACTTGTATATTATTTGTCAATCAAGTGACCCATTCCTCAATTATGTAACTGTATATTTTAAGCCTTCCGGCTGGCATGGTCCTTCAATAAACCGTTACTTATTATTATTATTATTACACGCACACACACACACACACACACACACACACACACACACACCTCCACTAGGGGTTCGCTTAATGACTATGTAACTCAGCATAATCGCGTCTTGCTTGGAGGTTAGCATTCCATTTGGTTAATATAATGCACAGTGTTAAGGGCGGCTGAAGTTTTACCATAGCTGCGGCTCCCAAGGCGTGTTGTGATGTTCATTATTTATACAGACACACAGACGCTGGTATACAGATACACAGACGCTGGTATACCGACACACAGACGCTGGTATACAGACACACAGACGCTGGTATACAAACACACAGACGCTGGTATACAGACACACAGACGCTGGTATACAGACACACAGACGCTGGTATACAGACACACAGACGCTGGTATACAGACACACAGACGCTGGTATACAGACACACAAATGTTAGCACACACACACTACTACTACTACTTTGCTGTCACTTGGAATCGAGTATGACGATCATCCAGCTATGATACAATGATATGAGCTATTAGGGATGTCACCTAGGTTGGTGAGTTCTGGGGTGACTAAAGAGGCCGATACGGGACCAGCAGGGTCGATCACAGATGTTGCACGTGTGGAGGGCTACATTTAGTGCGGGAGGGGAGGCAGCAGCTCCTTTCCGGCGATGGCGGTTGTCTTCCTCGGTATCCAGTCGGGCTAACGCGAAAGTATTGACACCTTCTCGTGTGGTGCTCCTCCAAGCGTTACGATGTGGAGTAATCGTCTCCCAGGTGAGGGGGTCGATTGGCACTTTTTCAGGTTTGTCTTAAGACTATCCTTATACCTTTTCAGTTGACCGCCAGCATTATGTTTACTATTCGTTAGGTGACTGTAAAGTAGCTGCTTTGGCAGTCTACTGTCGTCCATGCGGGTAACATGGCCAGTCCAACATAGTTCTTCATGGATAATGGTAGCCTCGATGCTCCCACAGTTGGTGTCAGCAAGAATACTGGCATTTGTTCTCTTGTCTTCCCAGCGAACTCGGAGGATGGAAAGTAGATTACGTTGGTGAAAGTTTTCAAGTGCCTTGAGGTGCCTCCTGTATGTGACCCATGTCTCGCTGCCATATAGTAGGGTGGGGAGGACCACTGCTCGATATACGTGCAGCTTTATAGATAATTTCAGCTCCCTACAACAGAAAACACGGTTACGGAGTTCGCCAACGGCTTGAGATACACATCTGACCCGATGTTGAATCTCTTCATCGATGTCTGCGGTAGTGAACAGGTGGGAGCCGAGATACTGAAAGTGAGTAACATTACAGAGGGTAGTACCGTTAAGCTGGATGGATTGTGGAGGTGTGGCTGAACCAGGGGCAGGCTGAAAGAGAATCTGAGTCTTACGTACATTCACCTCAAGGCCGAAGTGTGCATACGCATCTGCATAGGTGTTCAGGTTCTCCTGTAGGTCACATTCAGTGTGAGTGACGAGGGTGAGGTCGTTTGCATACTGAAGTTCAGTCATGGAAGCTGCCGACACCTTTGTTCCAGCCTGAAGTCGTCTTTTGTTGAAAATACCCTTCATCCGGTATTCGATGTCCACCCCGCCGACTAAATTGACACTAGCAGGAGTAAGGAAGGCAGCCGAGAAAATGGAAAAGAGAGTTGGTGCCAGTGCACATCCTTGTTTTACCTCCTCATACCTACCAAGGTTAATCCACAAGGCAGCGGGGCGGTGGTTGGTAGGCGCCAGAACGTGTCCACATGCCAGTGGGCCTATGCGCCGTCCCTCTGGGGCCCACTGCTACTCCTGTATCCCCTGCTGGTCTAGCATGGGCCCACGAGGCACCCAGTTACCGTGTGTTGCCACGAGGAGGCACAGCAGGAGTCTTGGTGGTGAAGAGGCTGAGTACTGGCAGGGGAAGACTTATGCAAGTTGCTTCCACAGGCAGGCAGGCGGTCAGGCGGGCGGGCAGGTGGGCAGGCAGGTGGGCAGGCGGGCGGGCAGGTGGGCAGGCGGTCAGGCGGGCGGGCAAATTGATCGATAGATTGATAGGTAAGATGTATAAGATAGATAAGATAGATTAGATAGATAGTTAGACATATATAGAAATATATATATATATATATATATATATATATATATATATATATATATATATATATATATATATATATATATATATATATAGATAGATAGATAGATAGATAGATAGATAGATAATTAGATAGATAGATAGATAGATAGATAGATAGATAGAAAGAATAGAAAGGTATAGGAATTAGTATATTAAAATAATCCAAGAAATCAAACTTCAAGTGCAACATTATTATGAATATTATCATTATCATTTTTTTTTAAACATTCTCAATCAGTTCACTAGGTATAGCACAGGCACTGAGACCCGTAGCTTAAATAGTATTGAACAGGTAACACAATAAACACGATACCAGTGGACAGAGCCAAGATATAGTGTTCAGCCTGGGTGGATACGGTCTCCCAGAACCACAGAAAACAACGATATTTATTGAGGGTAAACTTTTATAATATGATAATTTTGAGACTGAGTGGGGGTGTGGGTGAGAGTTGGGGAGGGGGGGGTGGATGGTGGTAGGGGGTAGGGGTGGTAGTAGGGGGGGGGGGTAGAGGGGTAGGGGTGGTAGTAGGGGGTAGGGGTGGTAGTAGGGGGTAGGGGGGTAGTGGGGCACTTAAGGAGTGTTTGTCAGGTAAGTAAGTGGATTTCGAGAGTTTTGTTTTAGTTTGTGAAGTTGATAAAGTTATGGGAAGTGTGTGGTGGTGTGTTGTGATGTGTGGTGGTGTGTTGTGATGTGTGGTGATGTGTTGTGATGTGTGGTGGTGTGTTGTGATGTGTGGTGGTGTGTTGTGATGTGTGGTGGTGTGTTGTGTGTGTGTGTGGTGTGATGTGTGGTGTTGTGTGTGTGTGGTGTGTTGTGATGTGTGGTGGTGTGTTGTGATGTGTGGTGGTGTGTTGTGATGTGTGTGTGGTGTGTGTGTTGTGATGTGTGTGTGGTGTGTTGTGATGTGTGGTGGTGTGTTGTGATGTGTGGTGTGTGTTGTGATGTGTGGTGGTGTGATGTGTGGTGGTGTGTGTGATGTGTGTTGTGATGTGGTGGAGTGTTGTGATGTGTGGTGGTGTGTTGTGATGTGTGGTGTGTGTGTGGTGTGTGTGTGTGTGGATGTGTTGTGATGTGTTGTGATGTGTGGTGGTGTGTGTGATGTGTTGGTGATGTGTTGTGATGTGTTGTGTGTGTGGTGTGTTGTGATGTGTGGTGGGTGTGACTGTGATGTGTGGTGGTGTGTTGTGATGTGTGGTGTGTGTTGTGATGTGTGGTGGTGTTGTTGTGGTGGAGGATGTGTGGTAGTGGTTGTGTGGTGGTGTGTGTTGTGATGTGTGGTGATGATGTGTGGTGATGTGTTGTGATGTGTGGTGATGTGTTGTGATGTGTGGTGGTGTGTTATGTGTGTGGTGTGTGTGTGTGGTGTGTTGGTGATGTGTGGTGTGTGGTGATGTGTGGTGTGTTGTGATGTGTTGGTGATGTGTTGTGATGTGTGTGTGTGTTGTGATGTGTGGTGGTGTGTTGTGATGTGTGGTGGTGGTTGTGATGTGTGGTGGTGTGTTGTGATGTGTGGTGGTGTGTTGTGATGTGTGGTGGTGTGTTGTGATGTGTGGTGATGTGTTGTGATGTGTGATCATATATATAAAGTAAGAACGGTTATTAAGAGTGATATACTGTATGAACATAAAATATTCACGCACTACTCAGATCCAATGCATAGTAGAAAGTATCAACTATTAACTTGTGGGACATATTACCATTATTCTTATACTTTATATTTTAGGAAAGGAATTTATTACTGGTGATATTTTTCTTGATAAATGACTGCACTTACGCGTAGAGGGGGCCAGGTGATGGAGGTTCACTACCCGCGTCACGGCTCAGCATTCCAGATGAACAGAAGCGCTCGGTACCTTTGGACGAGTCGGCTAGTGACTTTCCTGCCTGACAGCTAGTGAGGACAGGAGCTTTTGGATGTCTGTCAGGGTATCCAAAGGCTCGTGAAGCATAGAGACAGTTGAGGACATCACTTTTGTGGAATCAACGCCTTTGGACGGTATTCCAAGTGTTAGAAAGATCCAACAGGTATCCAACGACCAAGTATTACTTAGCTACGTTCTAAGGTAAGTAGACTGTAACTTGAATTGAGCTCAAATTTTTTAACCCTTTGAGTACGATGATTTAACCTCTTGAGTGCGATGACTTAACCCTTTGAATACGATGACTTGAGTACGCTGAATTAACCTCCTGAGTGCGATGATTTAACGCTTTGAATACGATGACTTTGAGTACGATGAATTAACCTCCTGAGTACGATGACTTAACCGCTGAGTAAGATGAATTAACCTTGTGAGTACGATGATTTAACCCCTTGAGTACGATGAAGTAGCTCTTTGAATACGATGAACTTAACCCTTTGAATAAGATGACTTTGAGTACGATGAATTAACCTCCTGAGTACGATGACTTAACCGCTGAGTAAGATGAATTAACCTTGTGAGTACGATGATTTAACCCCTTGAGTACGATGAAGTAGCTCTTTGAATACGATGAACTTAACCCTTTGAATAAGATGACTTTGAGTACGATGAATTAACCTCTTGAGTACGATGACTTAACCTCTGAGTACCATGAAATAACCTCGTGATTACGATGATTTAACCCCAGCATTAAAATAAGTAATAAGTGGGTTCCTTAACAGTTGTACATAAAATTATTTGCCATATATCAATAGTAGTCGGACATTAAGTACAAGCCTTGGAGCTGTAGCAAAAAGCTGGGAGTATAAATGAAATATTCAGTGTTACTAATACAAATAATTTACAACCATATACAACCTGTTATGAATTTTACAGTAAATGTTCAAAGTTCCTCTTCCTGAATATTACCACTAACATTAAATAGGGATTGGGATTAGATGTCCTTGTCCGGACACTTGTTGCAGTCATTCCATATCAAATTTTGTGGAGTAACTTCAAAACTATGGGGGTATTAACACTATGGTCATGGAGTCATTTGTCGGTGTAGGTGCGTGCGTGGGGGGGTGGCTGAGACCATTGCAACACTAATCATCGGTTCGTCAGATCCAAGCTCTCACTTCAAGTCGCCCCAAAACAGCGAAGGCAGCAAGACTCCAGAAGAGGTTTTAACCTTAAGCGTCTGGAGAATCCAGCAGTAGCACATGCTTTCAGAGACCAGTTCGAACATGGGCTGATAAACAACCCAACAGCAAACAACGCAAATCCCAGTGCCGAATGGGATACTCTCAACACTGTTATGACAAAAACCTGCAGTGACCCTCGGCCAGATCAAAAGAATACACCATGACTGGTTTGATGAACATGACCCGGCAATCACTGTACTCATCTATGATAAGGTGTTGCTTTAACTGACTGACACAACAACCCTCAGTCTCGGACCAAAGATGATACCTTCCTCAAGAAGAAAGCAGTGAAATTTTTCAATTCCACTAAAACATTTTATGGGCCAACCACTCGTGGCGCAGCCCCTATCCGCTCATCTGGCGGTAATTCCATAATTAAAGACGATGAAGGCCTCCTTCAGCGCTGAAAAGAGCACTACTATTCACTGCTCAACCGAAACACCGATGTGGATGTCCTGACTACCTAGCAGGACCCTCAGCATCCAGAGCTGACCCACCTCAGCTATCCTCCATCCCTGGATGAGGTAGCTACTGCCATCAAAAAGATGAAAAATAACAAAGCCTCAGGGCCTGATGGAATCCCAGCCGAGGTGCATAAAGCAGGAGGACCTCTGCTTACCAACCGTCTCCGCTCTCTCCTGGAGAATATATGGGAAAAGGAGGAAATCCCCTAAACCGGTCAGACTGGCAATTACGGCGGGATCTCACTGCTCTCCGTTGCTGGCAAGATTATCGCCTGAGTCCTCCTAAACAGACTTCCTCCTGAGGCGGAAAACTTCCTCCCAGAATCTCAATGTGGCTTTAGACCATCACGTGGCACCACTGACATGATCGTTTCGGCCCGTCAGATATAGGAAAAGTGCAGAGAACAACGTCATGACCTGTACATGGCTTTCATCGATCTAACCAAGGCCTTCGACTCGGTCAACAGGGAAGCCCTCTAGTGAACCCTCAGCCGTTTTGGCTGCCCACCAAAATTCATCGCCATTGTGAGGCAACCCCACGACGGCATGAACGGCGGTGCCCTGCACAATAGCACCCAGTCTGAGTTCTTCCCCATCCAAACAGGAGTTAAACAAGGGTGTGTACTGTCACAGTTTCTCTTATGCTGTAACATAAATATAATCAGGATAGGGAAATAGAGCATTTACATGAAAGGTATATTAAACAATAATGGTTTCACACGTGCTGATAGCTTTCACAAAGTTTACATTAATATCAATCATCTTATTTCAACAATATGCTGTCTCTTTACTTTACACATATGCTTCACAAATAGATTACAATATCTTATGACTACCAGAAAACACTGGATTACCCTTACAACCTGTGGGTTTTTCACGATACAAAATAAAATGTCCTTCACCAGAGAGAGAGAGAGAGCTTCTTCTCCAAGTTCCAAAAAGATTTCAGTAACTTATTCACATTTTGTTTGCATTCTTCATTTAAACCACTGCAATATTCTCTCATTGAAACTGTTTCACAAAATCATATATTAATGTTCTTTAATCATATCAGTTACTAAAACATATCACAAATCAGAATAACAAAACATATGTCACAATCTTAAGAAGACTTTAACCTTCACAGTGATTATAGGGTGTCATGAGAAAACGAGTCATCCCTCAGGGTGGAGTCATGGCTGAAGGGAATTCGTGATAATGCATCGGCCACAATATTAAACTTACCCTTGATATGACTAATAATTAAATCATAATCTTGCAACATAAGACTCCAACGGATAAGACGTTGGTTAGCATTTTTCATTTCATGCAAAAACACTAATGGATTATGGTCGGTAAATACAAAAACCCGTTTCCCCAAATACCTCAAATAAACATCAAAAATATTCAAACTCAAAATCAAAGCTAAAATTTCCTTCTCTATGGTGCAATAATTCCTTTGATAAGAAAGAAACTTTTTTTTTAGAAAAATAACAATCTTAAGAAGACTTTAACCTTTACAATGATTATAGGGTGTTAAGAGAAAACGAGACACAAAATGGGATGACTGAGGAAAACATAAGTACATAACAGTAATGGCACCAACACCGCTTTTCCATTTTCTTGGCTGCCTTTCTTACTCGTGCCAGTGACAATTTAGCTGGTGGGGTGGACATCCATTGCCAGATGAAGGGTCTTTTCAACATTCGACGACTCCAGGTAAGAACAAATGTGTCGGCAACTTCCATTACTGAACTTCAGTATGCAGACGACCTCACCCTTGTTGCTCACACTGAACACGACCTACGGGAGATCCTGAACACCTATGGAGATGCCGATGTACACTTCGGCCTTGAGGTGAATGTATGTAAGACTCATATTCTCTTTCAACCTGCCCCTGGTTCAGCCACACCTCCACCACCCATCCAGCTTAACGGTACTACCCTCTCTAATGTTACCCACTTTCAGTATCTCGGCTCCCACCTGTCCACCACGGCGGACATCGATGAAGAGATTAAGCATCGGATCAGATGTGCATCTCAAGCCTTTGGCAGACTCCAAAACAATGTCAGTCAGCTGTAGGGAGCTGAAATTATCTACAAAGTTACACGTATATGGAGCAGTGGTCCTCCCCACCCTACTATATGGCAGTCAGACATGGGTCACATACAGGAGGCACCTCAGGGTACTTGAAACTCTCAACAACGTAGTCTACGTTCCATCCTACGTGTTCGCTGGGAATACAAGAGAACAAATGCCAGTATTCTTGCTGACAACAACTGTAGGAGCATCAAGGCCACCATTATCCATGAACAACTACGTTGGACTGGTCATGTTACCCGCATGGACGACAGTAGACTGCCAAAGCAGCTACTTTATAGTCACCTAACGAATAGTAAACGTAACGCTGGCGGGCAACTGAAAAGGTATAAGGATAGTCTTAAGACAAACCTGAATAAGTGCCAAATCGACCGCCCCCCCTCACCTGGGAGTCGATTACTCCACACCGTAAAGCTTGGAGGAGTACCACACGAGAAGGTGTCAATACTTTCAAGTTAGCCCGACTGCAAACCGAGACAGACAAGCGCCAACGCCAGAAACACGCTATCACAGCCCCTCCTGCACTCGATGTAGCCCTCCACATGTGCAACCTCTGTGAACAGCTCTGCCGGTTCCGAATCGGCCTCTTTAGTCACCTTTTACCTCACCAACCTAGGTGACATCCCTAATAACTCATATCATTGTATCATAGCTGGATGATCGTCATACTCGATTCTGAGTGACAGCAATGTATGTATGTATGTATGTATGTATGTATGTATGTATGTATGTATGTATGTATGTATGTATCAGGAACACAATCCAGAATTATAAAACGTATTTGGGAAACATGTTTGTATATTGCTGAATTCATGGTCACAGGTCACGATGGTGTGGTAATGATAACCTTAATGACTCGGGCGACCTGTAATACATAACTGTTGATAGGAGATGTGTTATTACAGGTCACAGGTCACAGGTCACAGGTCCTATTACAGCACAACCTTTATATAATGTACTTCTCTCTCCACATAATCTACTTACATGGGGGTTTTCACACATTACGGTCCATCGATATAGCGAAGTTGCATATCCATATAGTTCATTAGATAGAAATTTTACTATATCTGTCATTACAGGTCACGATGGAGTGGCACTTCTCGCTTTTGCTGTTGGCACTCACCAGCCTGGCCGCGAGTATGTCTCAAACGAAGGATTATTTGCCAAATGTCGCTTACATCTCGAGCAAGGAGTTGGGTGACTTCTTGGTGGCTGACAAAACCACTTTGGCCTATTGGGAGGAAAGTTTAAATACAGCCAATGTCAGGACCCTGTGTAAGTATTGAAAGTATTGATCAATACATGTGTGTGTGTGTGTGTGTGTGTGTGTGTGTGTGTGTGTGTGTGTGTGTGTGTGTGTGTGTGTGTGTGTGTGTCAGTACTTGAGTTACTAACAGTAGTGTCACGTTACAGGTGGGTGCAGGACAGCGTGTTGGTCGTCACGTTGGTGTGTTGCGGCGTCACTGGACACGACCAGTGACGGGGTGTTATGTCGCCTGGCCCGCCTCACCGAGACTAACTTACCTCAGACTACCAAACAGACCAACTCTACCTACATCTTCTTCCTGAGTAAGTCTTGGTGTTGATGAGTAAGTCTTGGTGTTGATGAGTAAGTCTTGGTGTTGATGAGTAAGTCTTGGTGTTGATGAGTAAGTCTTGGTGTTAATGAGTAAGTCTTGGTGTTGATGAGTAAGTCTTGGTGTTGATGAGTAAGTCTTGGTGTTGATGAGTAAATCTTGGTGTTGATGAGTAAGTCTTGGTGTTGATAAGTAAGTCTTGGTGTTGATGAGTAAGTCTTGGTGTTGATGAGTAAGTCTTGGTGTTGTTGAGTAAGTCTTGGTGTTGTTGAGTAAGTCTTGGTGTTGATGAGTAAGTCTTGGTGTTGTTGAGTAAGTCTTGGTGTTGATGAGTAAGTCTTGGTGTTGATGAGTAAATCTTGGTGTTGATGAGTAAGTCTTGGTGTTGATAAGTAAGTCTTGGTGTTAATGAGTAAGTCTTGGTGTTGATGTCTTGGTGTTGTTGAGTAAGTCTTGGTGTTGTTGAGTAAGTCTTGGTGAGTAAGTCTTGGTGTTGATGAGTAAGTCTTGGTGTTGTTGAGTAAGTCTTGGTGTTGATGAGTAAGTCTTGGTGTTGATGAGTAAGTCTTGGTGTTGATGAGTAAGTCTTGGTGTTGATAAGTAAGTCTTGGTGTTAATGAGTAAGTCTTGGTGTTGATGAGTAAGTCTTGGTGTTGTTGAGTAAGTCTTGGTGTTGATGAGTAAATCTTGGTGTTGATGAGTAAGTTTTGGTGTTGTTGAGTAAGTCTTGGTGTTGATGAGTAAGTCTTGGTGTTGATGAGTAAATCTTGGTGTTGATGAGTAAATCTTGGTGTTGATGAGTAAGTCTTGGTGTTGATGAGTATGTCTCGGTGTCTGTCTGTCTCTTAAAGTGATAAAAACAGGAGAAAAAAAAATTGAATGCCCTATATATCTTAACACAGCCATCGTAAAAAAATATATCAAGGACAAAAATAATAAAGTGTTATTTAAAGATGGAGATTAGTTTTTAGCTTGAAGTATATATATTTGTTTTTGGCGAAGGCGGGGAGGGGGGGGGCGGTTGGATGGTTGGTTGAGAGTTAAGGAATCAGGATGGGGGAGAATTGGGGTGAGGGAGTAGGGAATGGAGAGTTGTTTCTGGTAATATTAACAATAAATATATTTTAATTACCTTTTATTTGTTTGTGTGTGTGAGCGTATTAACATATTTACCGAATAATTTATACAATCATAACGTCTTTTACCGAATAGTTTCCTGACGTGTATATGTATAATTATATATCAATTCATTTATTCATGTACGTGTATAAATCTACATCAGGAAATCATTTATTATTTTATTTATTTATATATTGATCAGCGTAAAATGTTAAGTTTGTTTGTTTAAAAATATATACGTAAGAATCCATCCATTAACCGATTCACCTATATCTTAATTACTCTTCCCTCTAATATTTTAATTACCTCTAAAGTCATCAATCTGATTGTACCAGTCCCACACCTGTGACACACCTGTCCCACACTGTACGACACCTGTCCCACACTTGTCCCACACTGTACGACACCTGTCCCATACCTGTACCACACCTGTACCACACCTGTCCCACACCTATGCCATACCTGTATTACACCTGTTCTACACCTGTGCCACACCTGTACGACACCTTTGCCACACCTATACCACGCCTTTTACCCCACCTGTACCTCTCTTGTGCCACACCTGTGCCACACCTGTAACACACCTGTACCGCACCTGTACTACACCTGTACCACACCTGTATCACACCTGTACCTCACTTGTTCCACACCTGTACCATACCTGTATCTCACTTTTGCCACACCTGTACCACACCTGTACCACACCTGTGCCACACCTGTACCACACTTGTACCACACTTGTACCACATCTGTACCACGCCTGTACCTCATATTGACCAGGTGTAAACATTTCTTAGTATTTGTAAATAAATAAATAAATTATTCTCACCTGTACATAAAGTAATATTTACATATACTAGTGTTAATTCTTTTCGCCTGTAGATGAAATACCAACAGGTGTATAAATTTGGTAGAATTATACAGAAAGCTCAATTAGCACTTGTATAAATAACAGCACCACACACCTGTAGATAGAGAGACATAACAACAAAAACAGGTGTCAAATATTAATTAACCTCAATAATACCCACACCTGTAGATAAGGCAGTGCCACACCTGTAGATAGAGATAACAACAAAAACAGGTGTCAAATATTAATTAACCTCAATAATACCCACACCTGTAGATAAAGCAGTGCCACACCTGTACACGGAGGTAGAGTACCCAGAACATCATATAGTACCAAAACTGAACTTGTCGATGGAGGAAGCCAAGATCTACTGCAGTCGTATTCCTGGCCACCATCTTGCCACCATTAAGACGATGACTCACAAGAAGGCTGTAGAACGTTGTGTGATGGCTAGTCGTAAGTAGTGTATGTCTTTATGTCTACGTTTGTTTGACATAGTGTATATATGTCTGTCTGTATGCGTGGCTGTCTGGGTGTTTATGTCTTTCAGTCTGTTTGTATATTTCTCTCTCTATCTGTCTCTGGGTATCTCTATGTCTGGATAATATTGATTGCTCTGTGTATGTCTGTCTGTCTGTCCTAGTTTCTACATTTATGTCTCTATCTGTCTGTTAATCTGTCTGTTTTTCTCTCTCCTTACCCTTTATTTCTATGTCTGTCTGTCTGTCTGTCTGTCTGTCATCCTTATAATTATCTGCATCAAGCTAAAACAGGATCCAAAAATGTTATATTTCCTATTCCTCTTTACTGCTATTAGCCTTCTACCTCTTGATCCCTTTCTTCCTTCATCCTCCGTTCTCCTCCTCTTCCTTCCCCTATTCCTCCCTCCCCTCCTCTTTCTCCATGTTTCTCCTACTCTACTAATATTCCTCCTCCTCCGTCTCCTCCAACCACTTCTTTTCTTCCACTTACTTCTTCCTCCACCACCACCATTACCATACCCCTTTCCTCCTACAGAAACGAAAGAACTTTGGGTGGATTTGGTAGCTGTGGACCGTAAACCACAATGGGGTGACGGAACGCCCCTTAACCAAACACTCCTGAACAAACCTGAAGGAAAGACAAGTACAGATCACACAACCTACATTATCTCGGAACAGAACATTGAGATAAGAGACCCAACAGTTGAGTACCCCTTCGTCTGCCAGGGTGTCCTTGGTTGATATACTCATAGAAAACGGAATCTTAGAGGCGTTGAAAGAAAATGGGAAATAAGAGAGAGATAATGGATGACTCTAATTGAACTTATGATTGAAGGAAGTTAAGTGTATTAGGGTTGAGTTGAGATAAAAGTAGAGTTAAGAATTTAGATAAGTAAGGACAGAGGGTAGTGATTAAATATTTAGAGATCCTATAATTAACAACTAACATAACATCACTAACATATAATTCATTGATGTTATAGAAGTCTTATTGATGTTTGGAAAGTCTTATTGATAAATGGAAAGTCTCATTGATGTTAGGAAGGTTTTATTGATGTTTGAGAAGTTTTATTGAGTTTAGAGAAGTCTTATTGATATTATGGAAGTATTATTAATGTTTGTAAGGTTTCATTGATGTTATAAAAGTCTTATTGATGTTAGGGAAGTCTTATTGATGTTAGGGAAATCTTATTGATCTTATGGAAGTCTTATTGATGCTATAGAAGTCTTATTGATCTTATGGAAGTCTTATTGATCTTATGGAAGTCTTATTGATGCTATAGAAGTCTTATTGATCTTATGGAAGTCTTATTGATGCTATAGAAGTCTTATTGATCTTATGGAAGTCTTATTGATCTTATGGAAGTCTTATTGATGCTATAGAAGTCTTATTGATCTTATGGAAGTCTTACTGATCTATAGAAGTCTTATTGATGTTTTGGAAGTCTATAGTTCCTTTAAAATAATATAAAGTTCTATTATATTTTAGGACTTATAGAAATGAGGGAAAATATCATGCTTATTTCCTTATTACATCGATTGTGGTCAGTTACTAATTAATAAGACCTGGACAAAGCGAACTCTTATTGCCCTTTGATGTCCGAGTGTGTGTTAGTAGTTAATGTTGCCTGGTATCATTATTTTTAATTACCTTTTGGGTGACATAGTGAGCGGTTTCCTGGTCCATAAAAAGTCAGTCATTATTTAATTTTTATTAGTGTTGTGGTGTGTGTGTGTGTGTGTGTGTGTGTGTGTGTGTGTGTGTGTGTGTGTGTGTGTGTGTGTGTGTGTGTGTCTGTACTTAATATGAGCCTCTTATGAATAACATTTAATTTGATATTTTTGAAGTATTAAATTTTGTTATATATCTAAAGGCATTAAAGTAACCTAAAACTATTAAATTATTTAAATCTATAATCGTAAAATATATTGTATTTATAGTAAAGGTTTATCTCATATCAATACATTATCTTAAACTTTACTAAATTCTAAGTTATTTTTGTTTCATTTTCACTCCCGGTAAAAGACATTGAGTATGAGAGAGGCGTTGAGAACTATGTGATCACCTGTCCAGTTTATGGAATGGTTCCTGAGGGTGAGAGAGAGAGAGAGAGAGAGAGAGAGAGAGAGAGAGAGAGAGAGAGAGAGAGAGAGAGAGAGAGTTAAGTCAACTAAAAAATGATAGAAAACGTATCAACAAAAAATAAAACTTAACATATCAAAGGGGATACTAACCTAGCGGAAAATCTTACTTAACATTTCGTATCGGTGTATGTACATATGTTTCTCTGTTGATGTATACTGTATATCTGATTTTTCCAGTCATAGCCCAATCGTGTATAAGTCTACGCATAATGCAACCCATATTTCACTTACTCTCGCACAACCTGTCTTGACACATATCTACAGCAATGGGCTCACATACATAGCCTGAAATATTCTCTAAGGCAATATTTTTCATTACATTAAAGATATATTGTATGTTGTTGATAATGAATAGAAAAATAAAAACGAAATGTTAAGTAAGATTTTCCGCTAGGTTAGTTTTTTTTTTTGTTGATACGTTTTCTGTCATTTTTTAGTTGACTTAACACTCTCTCTCTCTCTCTCTCTCTCTCCCGATTATTCATTCCTCAGAAAATTATTTAGAATGTCGTTACGTCGCTCACAGCTGATGTTTACATTGCAAAATATCAAAAGGGTATCTCAAAGAGGCTTAGAAAATTGAAAGAGAAATACCCTTTAGAAAAATAGCTTATAGCCTCAGTGTACAATATGAAGAAACAAAAAATCACTTAAAATATACTCCACGTGTGCATGTCGAAGTATATAAGATAAATTGTGAAATAGGGAGTAAAATCATGAAAGCAACATAATTCGTCAATAATATTTCTTCGTCTCAGGGTAAACAAACCGGGAGTTCAGTGCCGCGGAATATTACAGTTCGTGTTATGAGCTCCGGGGAGAGAAAAAATGACCCCAACTTGGGATAGGATAATTTATCCAACCTGAGATGCTTCATTTTCCAATTAAATTCAAGATGAGATTTCGCGATGACGCTTAACGGATTCTGAAAATGTCGCACGTTAAACCTTCCTCTGAAATGAGATTGTAAGAATTTTTCCTTTATTTCTCTTAATCAGCGGAATGATGATGGATTCTCTAAATGCTCCCGGGCAATATTTTCCGGCTAAGTTGATATATTAAAACTAAACAAAATATTTACATCAGAATATATTGATCAATTAATATAGCCACTCACAGTAAAGTCTGAGTCCTTATTATTATTTTATTATGAGAAGAAATTTATTTACGATCCTTTGAGAATTTATATTTATATCGTAAATCAAATAACCTAACCTAACCTACCCTAACCTTACCTAATATAACCTAACCTACCCTAATATAACCTAACCTAACCTACCCTAATATAACCTAACCTAACCTAACCTACCCTAATATAACCTAACCTAACCTACCCTAATATAACCTAACCTAACCTACCCTAATATAACCTAACCTAACCAAACCTCACCACTCCTCACCTTACCTCACCTCCTCACCTAACCTAACCTAACCAAAGGTAGCTAAACCTAACCTAAACCCGCCCAGGTTGCATTAAGGTGTTTAATTATCAGGTAAAATAGGCTATGGGAGATAATCTTCATGTCTTCTAAGTTAATGATGATATGAGAATCCAACACCCGCGTGACATTTGCCGTGAGTAATTAATTTCTACCTGGATGGGGACAGGTGTGATAGAGCGAGACCTTAATTCCATCCGAGACAGACAGACAGACAGACAGACAGACAGACAGACAGACAGACAGAAAGGTGATGCACTTAACCAGAGACTCGTTCACTCTGTGGGTGTTCAGTTGTGTTCGAGAGAGAGAGAGAGAGAGAGAGAGAGAGAGAGAGAGAGAGAGAGAATTTACGGTAACTAGACTTTATACCTAAGTTACTTCACCTGATAGTCTTTTTTCTGCCTAACTACTTGCCTACTTGCCTACCTGCCTGCCAGCCTGCCTGTCCAAAAATTTAAAAATCCTTCGTTCAATTTTTTTTTTTAGTATTTCCATTATTTTGGCCTCTTGGTCTGTCAGAATCCAATACATGTTTTTGCTTTATTACCTACCTGAGGAGATGGGGGAGGAGGGGTGATGGGGAGGGTAATGGGGATGGGGAGAGGAGGAGAGGTGAGGAGAAAGTGAGAAAGAGGTGGAAGGTTTGGGAAGGAGAGGAAATGTGGGAGAAGGAGGAGGTGAAAAGGGGAAAGAAGAGGAGAGAAATGAGGCGGAGAGGCAGAGAGGAAAGAGAAGAGGGGGAAGAGAAGGAGTGTAAAGAGCTAAAGGAGGGATAAGAGTCGAGGATAGAGATATGGGTGAGGGATAGGAAGGACGAGATGTTCATGCAGATCATAATCCAATGCATAATAAACTAACATCAGTCATCTATATGTAACAAAAAAAGTTACAAGCCAATGATAAATAGACTTCATTAACTCGTATTGTGATTTAGGTTGGGAGGGGGGAGAGGAGAGGGAGAGGGGAAGAGGAGGGTGGAAGGAAGGGGAGAGGAGGTGGAAGGAAGGTGGAGAGTGAGGGGTGGAAGGAAGGGGAGAGGAGGGGGTGGAAGGGAATGGGGAGAGTGAGGGGTGGAAGGGAAGGTGGATACTCCCCCAAAGCGCCTGCATAATACTCAACTTTACTTAACCAGAAAGATAAAAAGAATAATATCATTTTTTTCTTCTGAGACCGTAATAATGGTTATTGTGTTCATTACCTGATAGGTAGAGAGAGGGAGGGAGGGAGGGTTGGAGAGAGGGAGGGAGGGAGGGAGGGAGGGATGAGGGGAGGGAGGGAGAGAGGGAGGGTTGGAGGGGAGGGAGGGTTGGAGGGGAGGGAGGGTTGGAGGGGAGGGAGGGTTGGAGGGATAAAAGACATAGGAACGTCAAACCCCCTCTCATACTCCCTCCTTTTTCCGTTCCACTTTCCGCCTTCCTTCCTTCCTTACTGCCACCCTCCTGTCCCTCTCTCCTTCCCTCCCTCCTGCCTCCCCCTCCCTCCCTCCTGCCTCCCCCTCCTCTTTCCACCCCTCCCACCCTCCTTCCTCCCTTCCTCCCTACCGTTCTGTACAGGTGAGAGCCAACTCATTAACACATTATCATCAGGTGAGTGGAAATGCGAGTTAATGTGGGGAGGACCTCATTAAATTCAAATTTCACGTTGCACTCGGAGATGGAGAGGCCCTTGTGGCTAAGGCCCTTGTGGCTAAGGCTCGTGCACAAGTGTGAATGAATGTGTGTGTGTGTGTGTGTGCAACAGAGAGAGAGAGAGAGAGAGAGGGAGAGAGAGAGAGAGAGAGAGAGAGAGAGAGAGAGAGAAATTAACACACGCACACAAAAAAAAAATCAACAGACAAACTTCGAGAACAAGACGAGATAAACAGACTAAGTTAGTTTGAGTCGTTTTAATAGTCACTCACCTCAACTTGTCCTTCTGGCGCTCACTTAAATGTTTTCATTCTTACGACGTTACGACCCAATATTAAGAAGTTCATTTGTTTCATTGGGTTTCTCCGTCTGTGTGTCTAGCCGTCTTTCCAGCCTTGATTTTGTCTGTCAATGAGTATTTCAGATAGACCAATAGACTGACCAGCAACCACCATTGGACATATAGAGACCAATAGACTGATCAACAACCACCACTGGACACATACTTAAGACGCCAGGGACAGAATTGACTGGGATGGAAGATGTAATTTTGATGAACCAAGATATTTATTTATTTATTTTCTTAACCTCTGACTCTTACCCACCTCTTAAGTCTCTCTCTCTCTCTCTCTCTCTCTCTCTCTCTCTCTCTCTCTCTCTCTCTCTCTCTCTCTCTCTCTCTCTCTCTCTCTCTCTCTCTCTCTCTCTCTTGCAATTCCTTTAATTTTTTCTATGTCTCATTTTTCTCCCTTTTCTGCCTGTCTCTTTCACACTTTTTTTTTATCCACGTCTGCATCACTAAGATCACACACACGTACACACACACACACACACACACACCCGCAACCCACACTCACACTTACACACAATTCACAAGAGACTTAATCTTTTACAACAACAAGTTTAATTCAACCCAAAGCCAAACCGGGTTGGAGAAGACAGGTAAATGAGAGAGACATTCACATTCACAGTTTCAGAAATTGTGAAGTGATATTCATGTTTGTGTGAGGATGACGATTAAAAAGTACTGGTAGAAAAAAAAATTACTTACTGTACAGAGTGAATTTGCAAACAGATTCAGTTCCTATTTGCAATGGTGAATGGTGAATAATGATGATGATAATGATGATGATGATGATGATGATGATGATGATGATGATGATGATGATGATGATTTTCCAACATTTTCCTTATATCTTTGTGTGTCTTGTGATATCTCAATTTTCATTTCACTGTCTGTCTGTCCGTCCGTCCGTCCGCCTGCTATATTTACAGAGTTACAACCTTGAGACACACACACACTCATACACATATGGTTTTAAGTCTCTTTTTTGTGAGTCTGTGTTGTGGGGGTGTTGTGAGTTAGTTGTATATTGTGAGTATGTTTCAGGTATGTTGTGAGTCTGGTGTGAGTTTTTTGTTGTGAGTCTGTTGTGAGTGTTATGAGTGTTGTATGTTATGAGTTTTGTTGTGAGTCTGATGTGAGTTTGTTGTTGTGAGTCTGTTGTGAGTGATGAGTGTCGTATATTTATGGTTTTGTTGAGTCTGG